AAGTTTGAAATACCATGCCTGTATTTATGATTTGCGCATAAACTATGCATGTTAATCTTCTGGTCCTGCAAAAATGGATTCTTGCTTCATTTCTCCTGAACTTACCCAATTGATTGGGAGACAATTTGAAAGTCTTCTAAGTCTTGTTCTTTTGTAAGTCTGCCCTCAGCGTTAAATAGCAAATTTAAAAAAGGCTAATTATCTCTTTCCAGATTTACTGTTTCTTCTGGGACTCACTTCCTCTGTGTGCATAGTGACTGAGATCATAAAGAAGTTTGAAAGAAGCAAGGAAAAGATCCAGAAACGTGGAAGTTCTTCTTCGTCAACTTCGTCTTTTCTTGATGTATGATGCATATTGCATTCTTTTGTTTGCAAACTTAGGGATTGCTGTCTAAAGATGTAGGAGAAAGCGAAACAATATTTGGAGGATAAAGAAATCCTGAGGGCTTTTGACAAGTCCTTTGTTTCACTGGCTAATGATGAACATTCATGTTTCAAGACTGTTCAGAATTTAACTTCCAGCTGTGGGAGTAACAAATGAAATTATGCAACTTTGGTAACGTTTTTCCTCAAACATAAATTTACTTTTGAGATTGAACGGGATTTTTTGTGTGTGGGGTTTAATTTAAGGAAAGATCTAAGCCCAAGTTCCATTTTCTGCACTTAAAAGATACAACTGTGTAAAATCCTTCTCTTAGATATAAATATTTTAGTTTGTTTTTATTTAAAACATTGTACTATTTTACTTTTATGGTGGTGGGACTTTGCTACTAATACAAGGATAAAAAAAATATTTCAGAGGCATTCCACTGGGTTTAGAGTCTGTCACAAGAGTGCCATATTCTAGCTACTGTATTTATTTACTTTATCCTGCAATGTGTAAGCGGCTCAAGTACCTTGTGCTACAGTTTTTTTGTATCCCGAGGTTTTTTTTGCACAGGATGTGACCGCTGTTGGATCACTGTTTTTCTTTTCTTTTTCTGTGATTGAAAAGCCTATACTGCAATTTGAAGTAAATGTTTGCTTTTCTTAAAAGTGTGTTGTCTCTTTGTTTTAAAAGAAACTGGCATTTACACCAGATTAGCATGCTTGTTTTGATACAATTTTAGATATAAGCTTTGTGTCATGTCTTGTTCCGTATTTACTTTAGCTTAGGATTGTTAGATCACTTGAGTGATTATAAGACAGTACTGTTACGGAAATGATTTGTAGTGTATTGAATTAGAAAGTGAATGCACTAATCCTCACTCTAATGGCAAAAAACCCCACCCCTCTTTCAAAGAATCTTGGTTTTCCTTCCTCTTCCTTCTTCCACCCTGATCATAAAAATAAACTTTTTACTGGTAGTGTAACTTAAAATTTCAACCTACAGAATGACTTTTTGTGGCTAGGAAAGCATTATAATAGATTCGTGTCTTGATATGTTGAAAGTTTTTTTAATATATGATAATGTCTGAATACTTTAATATTCATTAATTGGAAGTGGTGTTCTTCCTCAAAATAGACTTGCAGCTGTTGTCATCAGTGTCTTCTCATCAGACTAGGACGACTCATCCCTTGAGGAAATGCAAGGAACAATCACCTAGGGAATCTTGAAAAGAGGATGTCTAAGATCTCTAGGGGGAGTTGGAGATGTAATGGTATCTCTTTTGCTTGAAAGCATGTGGATACACATCTTTTCACACTGTAGCCTGAAAGTGTAGCATTGGTATTGGCTCTGGGCCATGCTGTCACGATGGTCATCCTGTTGGTTAATGAGGAATTGTTCTAAACAGGCACTGGGATATTTCTGCACGTAACCTTTGTTGCTTGCCCCACATGCCATGCTCAAAATCTGAGGAGTTCATGGAAAACAAGACCATTTGGAAAGTGCTGTATGAATCTCTCTAAGAGGCTATTTTAATTGTTGTCGTCTTTTTTCCTCTGGAGATTCCCAGACTTGGTCAGGAAGTGGGGCTGCAGACAGGTCGTGAGTGCACCACTGAGTCTGCTTTACACGTGCAATTGATCCATTGCTCTGACTGACCCTGGGCCTGCTCACTATGCACATATTACCTGGACTACCAATGTGCTGGAGATCTAATTGTGTAAAGGCAGACTGCAGGGTGTTATGTGAACTACTGAGCTGGTGGGGCCTGAACAAGATGACCTCTTGCAGAAATGCTCTCATGTCTTCAAGCAAAAGTTTCTTATTTCCAGCGGTTTTGCCTTTCAGAAGTTGAAGAGATTTGTCAGTGTTCCTCCTGTGGAACTATTACCATCTTTGGTAAGTGGGGCTGTAGTTGTTCAGCATTGTTGTAGTGTGCTCAGTATTTCAGTACAATTTCAGAACACTTTTATTAATAAAATCCTTCGTATTCTTCAGTAAAGACAGAGAGTAAAAACTGACAATGCATGCTGATGAAGAATCTCTTGAACGAACTTGGGTTTTGAGAAAGTTACAGCAGCTAAGACTTACACCTTTCACATAGTAACTTGTTGATATTCTTCCATGGGATTTGACTGCTTTGTGCTCTGCACTTCATCTTGGAGTCCCAGAAATCCAGATAAGTACAGAAGTGCAGATGAATGCCAATTTGTTGTCTGAGCTTGGAAGTGCTATTGCCTAGTCTGTAAACAAATTTTATGAAGTACCCCTTTCCCACTACAAGTCTCACTTTCTGAATAAGGTATGTCAGTCTAGACAAGAAATAAAATTTCAGTCTTAAGAACAATTTTGCCGCCTTGCAGGGTGAACTTAATTGCATGCAATTCACTTTAAATATGCCAAACTAAGTTTTGCTCTGTTTTCCAATGGAAGGTGAAACAAAAACAAGTAATTCATCTAGCTCAATCTCATTATTTATACAAAATGCTTGGACTGAATTCCATTGCCCTTTTTTTGGCTCCACTCTTGATCGTTACCCCCTAACAGCAAGTTTGAGAGGTTTTCCTCCAGAGCAATTGAATCAATAGTGGGATCTTTCCACAAAAATTAAGAGGTGTTTCATGTGGGGTGAAAATAGGCAGCAACCAAGGAATTTATTTCCTCTTACTGAAGCATGGAGTAAAGAACTTCTCAGTTTTAATAAGTAAAGGCCCTTTATTTTTTATTTTTCCTACAAAGAAGATTGAAAACCTATAATGACTCAAAAAAGAAAACTGGAACACTTGGTTTAAATTCTGCATAGTAACCCTAGAATCAGTAATAATTTTCTTCAGCATACGGGATTGGTGTATTTCAGTTTATCAGCAACAATGAACAGCTGAATTCTGCATTGAGAACACATTTCCAGTTGAGTAATTCTTAATCATTGAGTCAGCACTCCCAAAGGTATTCTCAAAATGGCATGTGATCCTAGCAGTGTTTTTATCTGGAAGTGGAATATTTGAGTTTATCCCAGTCTTCCAAACTATCTAATTGAAGATACTGCTGCTCAGCAAGTCTGAAGAATTTATGTTCTCCACCAGTTTTCTAATATGGGATTCAGAGTAAATTTAAGATCTCTCTTCTCTCAGCGCTAACAAAGTGGAATCAAATATGCCTGTATTTTTATATTTAGGACTTCTTTTAAATGTGACTGTTTCTGATGATTAAAAACCATAAGGAACTACAAGCTTGGTAAAATGAAACGGGATCATAGTGGAACAGAGGATGATTTGGATGATTAAGGATTTAAGTTTTAATTACTAAAATCAAGAACTTTAACGCCTTTCAACTTCATTTAAGGTCATCTGATGGAAATGTGACTTTGTAGACCGCTGCAAGTAAAGTCTAGTTAGAAATGGGTTGTGAAGTTCTAGTAACTTGCTGTATGGCTGAGCGTAGGTAGGTGCCATCTGCTGGTAGTTTAATAAGTAGCAGTTTTCATACTGGAAAAAATGTTAAATATTTATGACTATCACAGACTGTATCTCAAAAACAGTTTTCTCATGAATGTAATAGATGTTATAAACCTATTCTTTTCTCATTGAATATATATATATATTGGCAGTATCGAGACTCAGCTGTATGATATCAGAGATCCTTCCTGTAAGTCACAAGATCTAGTGAGTTACTTCCATGTGGATAGCTGTCAGATAGGGGACATAACCAGGACTGAAACGTAACTGCATGATGCAGGAATGAAGCTTGAATTCTGGTAAGTAATGGGCAAAACTTTAATGATTAAAGGTAGAAATAATGATTTTCCTGAACGTGAGAAAAGGTATATGGATTCTTGAGGAGAAAAAACAGAAATGTAGTAATTAGATTTCACATGGGGAAGACGCTGGAAAACCAAGTTTTATAAGAAAAGCATTTACGTAAATTGACTAATTTTGCTGGAAAGTTAGCTAATACAAAGCACTGAGAAATACTGATGATGTAGGATTTTTTAAAATATAAATTGTTTTTCAGCATTACCATGTTGATAGTAAGGGTTTGTCAAGTAACTTAGTGTACACCAGGGCAAGTTAAACAGGTCTGTAATTTTAGTATAGCCATTAGAGAAAGGTTAACTTGAATGACAAGTTTGCTAATGGCAGAAGATTGCATGCAATTACTCTGAATTAGCAAACCTGTGGAAACTTGCTACCATGTGATAGCTTTGTGTGTGCATGTAAGCATTTAACTCTTAAACATACCAAAGGGGGGTGGGGGGGGAATAGAAGCTGAAGTTTCTCCCCGAGTATAGTTCAATACCTGTAATTCTGCAAGCACAACTTAGTTGTCACTGAGTAAAGCTAGCTCTCCCCAAAAGTACAAATACTCTACCTGTAAAGACTGATTCTACAATATTTTTAACCTTGTCAATTTCTGTTTTAATCTGATCTGTAAGATTGTAATCACCGTATTCCTCAAACACAAACTTAAAAATGGGATTTTTTGGAAATCAGAAGTGTTCAGGGAGATGGAGGGATAGCTAAGTATAAATGTTCAGGAAAAGAATTCCAGAAAAATAGTCCAGCTCTGAAATGCTGAACAACTTTGCTCGCATTTTCAACTAGACTGATACCCTGAAAGAAAAACAAAACACAACTCTTACACAGCACCTCTTTTTTATGAAAGTGTTAGTTACAAAAAAGTAAATTAAAAAAATTCCCCAAAGCAAGAATTGCTGGTAAAGACTGAATGAGGAACTTGTGTGAACACAGCTGACCAAATTCCAATACAGTCACGCATTTTAATACAACTTCTTCCATCTGCATGGCATTAAAAATCATTCCAGGAATAATGCTTTCAGTCATCCACTCCAAGTGATGCAAACCTATTAACATTGCATAAATGCTGAGTTTCTGGTATAGCAGACCTGATGGCCTTTTTTTTCTTCTTAGACGCTTTCTTCTTTTTGTAGGACTCAGATTTGGTCTTGGTCATCTTCTGAAAGAAGTCTGGAGATACAGTTGACTCCACTGTATTTAACAAAACCTGATAAAGCCGAGTCATTTTTGGAGAGAAACTAAATAGATTTTCCACTGAAGGTGTTGATTTAAGCTCTTGATACAGTCTGTGCACAAGGGTCCCAGTGTAAAGCCTGCTCAAAGGAAGGAGAGAAGCCTCATTTAGAATCGCACCTCAGCAGGACAGGTACAGAAACATGCTGCTCAATGAAAAAACAGATCTTAACTACATACAGTATCCAACAGTGGGCTCCTGAGGGATACCTATTTACTCAGTATTTTTCTCTGTATTAATATCTTTAAAGAAGGGAGTTCAAATGTAGTAAAATTGGCCAAAGGAGTTTGACACAGAAAATAAAACAACGTGAACACATTCCATCAGGGGCTTCTGTGGAAAGCAGACCTCTGAAACAACCTTACCTACTTAGGTCTGGCTCAGAGAGAGGAGTGCAAAGTAGCTGGTTGAGATACAATCCCATCTGAAGACAGCACTGCCACTGGCAAAAACTGTGTGCAGCATCTAAATCGAAGTCTTTATTTTGCAATTTCTTTTCGTTCCATTTTAGAAATTCATTATATGCAATACTGTCATCTTCAGCACGTAAAACTGTGAGATCTAGGTTATAAATAAAAAATGACATGCAAATAAATGTTCTGCTGTGAACAGTACAAAAGGTACCTGCAATGTATAGGGTCTTCAAACCTCCAGTTCTATTTCAGGAAGCATTAGTAATGTTTTCAAATGTCTCAAATTGAACTTTAAGACATAAAATTGAGTAAAAATTCAAGTATGAATATCCGTGAGAATCTGAAATTGTGAAATCGGGAATTCTATTTGTTAGGTAATTTGCTACGCTGTTCTGCGAGTGGATCAATTCCAAACAAGATTTCCATCTCACTCCCACTGACTTGGGAAGCAGGTAGCAACCACATCAGTCCAGTTTCTATAAACTAGAACCTAAAGAAACAGTATAACCCTGGCATGCGTAATCTTTGCCATCAAATGAAGGACTCCTAGAGGAAATGCCACCATAACTCTAATAGGAGTAAGTATTACTGAAACAATTTCTGTGATAATTTAGTACTTTCAAATTCTCACAATATACAGGCAGATAAAGGGTGCCTGTGCAACTCAGCATTTTTAAGTACAGATGATTTTAGAAAAACTCACGAAAAAATCCATCGGAATGCATCAATAGTAGTTATTCTCTTTTGATGCATGAGTATGTTGAGCTTATATTTTTGTAACTTTTATATCTAAATTAATCTTTTGGTCCTAAAGAAAGCATTTATAAATACAAATTAATGTTTTACAAGATAGCACAGTACTGTTTTACCTATATAAAATGTTGAATTGATGGCTAGCACTGTTTCTCTGCTATGTATCAATGCAAAGACTGTGACACCTCAGGATACAGTGTAAATCCATGCTAATTCATCTGACTTTGGACAACTCCCCATAAATGAGGAAAAATGAATTATGGTATAGATTTTCATAGTAGCTGAACACCCAGAATTGTATTCTTTGGAGACATACCTGGATCACTTGTTATCCTGTGCAGTTCTCCAGATACTATCATTAGAAGTAAAGCCTTTAATTGATGCAACTTAACTTTTGGTTCTGAACAACATATCCAGTAACACGTTACAGCAACGGGGAGTTGTAAGTGACTGGGGATAGATTCTAGCAAACTCATTTTCACTCCTAGAGTCTCCAGCAAAAGCATCTGACGGCATGATGTGGGCACCTGAAAATAAATTAAAAAACCGGAGTGGAAAAATAAAGTTGAGAGACTTTTATTTGCTGTGAGCAATTTCCAAAAGGCAAATAAGCTTGTATTTGAACTAGCTAGTACTTCATGTTTTCGAGAAAAAATTACTTGTTTCATAGATAATCTGAAGAGGAATTTTTAAAATACTACTTAAGCTTTAAAAACTACACAGCTAAATGTTAGGTAGAAGGATAAAAGTAATTTTTTACAATTGCCTGAGGTTGGATTTTAAGACGTTTCAGAGTCATCTTCAAATCAGATGACTGAATTTAAACGCCTATGTAAAAGCTGACTTGCTTGGAAAAATCTTGTAATCATAATGCATTAAAATTACGTTGGTGTGGCATATATATATAAAAAAAAACAAACCACTTTCGTTTTCTGCCTCTTAGAAGTTACCCTTGCTTTGTGAGATGTAATGGTGATATCTGTTCTTGGTATGTTGAAAACATGCTTACCTGTAATCACAATGAAATCTTAAGTGCAGAGCTTGCATTTTTCACCTGCAACGTTATTAATTTCTAGCACGTTCCCTCTTCGTTGTTGCTATTTAACTTCTAAAAAGTGGTGTTACAAACTTTATCCGTAACTTCCTATATGCAGCAGAATCGCAGCAGGCTGTTCAATTGTAATTCGAGTGCTTTGTGAACCTTGATTAGGATGGTTTTGCCTATTCTTAGGCAGACATCCCCACAGTAGAAGACAAACTGAAATCAGTTTTGCCTAGAGCACTTTAAAAGCAGAATAACTTTTCTTCTTCTAACCTTCTGTTGAACTGATAATGCCCTTATATTCAGTAAGGAGAGCCGTTACAATAGCGGAAGCTCAAATTCATTAAACAAACAGCATACACACCAAGACCAAATTAAGGTGTCATTAATGCTTCTGAATAATCATGTTTTGGGATTTTAAAACTCTGAAGTGTTTGCATATTGCTCGTTTAAAAGGCCTGTAACAATAACCTGTGTAAAATAACCTGTATATAGGCCTTTGGATCCATAGCTATCTGTAGCATCTAATGGTTGTAGTAGTGATAGACTGGGTTCTTACATGAACTGGCCACCAGCAAGTGATAAAAACATACAGCACAGCTCACACAGATGTGTTAACAGTTGATCTGAATGCCAGAACGCATACAGCATGTGGCTTAAATATGCAGTATTAACAGATGCAGATTGTATTTCCAGATGTTTCAGAAACTACTGCATATGAAACCTCAGTTATGCAACTTTGGGAATGGGATATTACTTTCCATTCACAGCAAGAGTTACAGTCTTAATCATTAGAACTTAAATATACAGAATTGCTAACGGTGACTGGAACTAACCTAGGACAACTTTCCTTTGATTACAAGCTGTTTTTGAAGTGCTGTTCTGTCTCGCAAGCAGCAGGGGTCCGTGTTAGCAGGATGCGTACTTGGGGCAGGTAAAACTGCTGGGCAGCTGCAAGATTCATACATGAAATAATGGCCATTTGTAGTAAAAAAGCATGGATCAGATTTTGTTTCAGAACATTGCTTTGAAACATCCATAGCTTGATCAAATAGAAATTAAGTTTTGTAGTGTTAAATTGCACTTTTCTAAATGTCATGGAACTGAGTTCCTTCCTATAATTATAAAAGCGAGTATTAGTGTAACAGAATACACAGGATGAAAGAAGGGCTTAGAATGGAAAACGTAGGCAATACTACATATGCACACAACCAACTTCCCATATAATTTGTCTTGGTGCACTTGGTGGGGGAGCGGGAAGGGAAGGAGATAAAGGCAATCTATGTAGCTTCTCAAGTACCACAGGCCAAGCTCAGAGCCCTGTACAGGGCTGCATGAAGTAGTGACTTACTGAGGTGGCTTAGTTCAGGCATCACGTTTAGCGACCAGTTGGCAAACATGAGTCCCAACTATTTTTTGTCACTCGTGAAACACTGTTAACCGTGATCTGTTGTGACAACCATTTACCTCCATTAACTTGTCCAAAGGAAAATGATCATCACAAAAATCTGTGGGTAGGCTTGCTGCTTGAACAAATGTTTTTTTAAGCGTCTTTTGGAGTCTGTCAAATTCGCATACAACTGGCAGCTCGTTGGTCTGCTTACTTGGAGAAGCAGCTTCAGCGCCTTGAGATACTTTCAGAAGCAGTCCATAGATAACTTGTCGAATGGGCAAAGCTGTGCTGTGTGCGCTAGGTCTCTGCATGTTCTCCACCTGAACGTGGAGGAAGGTACTTCTTAGTATCAGGGCATCGCTGATGAATGGGGCCAGCTTACCTTTTGCCAAAGCATCGAGTACCCACCGCGGTAAGTCTGCTTTCCCGGCAGCCTCACATTCATACTTCCCAGTCTGAAAAAAGTCCTCCAGATTGACGTCAGACGGAGTATAATCCTCCATCGAAGTGCACAGCAGCTCCTTTGTTTCTTCCCTCTGGTGTTTCTTAAGGTATTTCAGCACGCTGTCGACAGCCTGGCCGGGCTCGGCGAACTGCGACAGCCAGTTCAGAAGCCCCTGGAGGCGGACGTGCTTCCCGCCCTTCCCCGCCGCGCACCCCCTCGGCAAGCGCACCTTGCTGAAGAACACCTCGAGAGCTGCCAGGTCGACATAGTCGTTCCCGTTCAGGACGGCAAAGAGCGGGAGCAGGCTTTTGTTCAGCTGACCGAAGTGCCCGCAGAACCTCTCCGCGGAAAAGCAGCGGGCGGGGACGTAGCAGCCCTGCGCCCCCTCTCCCGCGCACACGCTCTGCCACTG